TAAAGACACTGGTACTAAAACAGAGAGCTAAAGAAGTGATGTACTGCTGAACAACTGATGGGTTACTTTGGCTTATGAGTTATGAGATGAAGTCCCTGCTCTCTGGACTCTAAAGCCAGCACTGCTTCGTAGGTACCACAAGAGATGATGTGCATCCCCTTGATGAAGGACTGAGATGGCACTAATCCTTAGCTAGGTCTTGGCAGGCAAACATCAAAGCATGAATAAGCTGAATGTGATAAAACCAGAGAAGGTACTGGGATAACTCCAGAAGATTTAGTCATTCATTAGTTCTCTCACGCATGCATGTGTAGACTTATTAAAAATATTTATTGAGTACCTACTATCTTAGCAGCACTATGACAGGTGCCAAGAATAGATAAAAATAGTAATAGCTCATTCCTAATTAGTCCTGCTGGGACTGGGAAACGAGTTAAGTACTTTAGTTTTCTTTGGCTCACTTACTTTTTGATAATTTCATGAGGTAGGCAGTATTTCTATCCTTATTTTATAGGTAAGAAAAATGAGACCAAGAGATGATAAATAACACATACAAAGTAACATAAAGCAATGAAATTCAGGCAGTCTGGCTTGAGAACCCATATTTTTGACCATCACCAAATGCTTTTACTTCTCAAATAATAGTGTGTCAAGCAGACACAGTACTTGTCCTAGCCTGGTAATGGAGAAAGAAATGAATCAAATAATAAATAACCGATATGATTATAAAGTAGAATCAGAGGCACATTCAGGGGTGGGAGCACTGTACAGAGAGATCCTGCTACATGGAGGCACATGAAGAGCATGAGAAACTGAGTAAGGGCTAGGGTAGCTGAGCCACAGCATCACCGGAGAAATGGTCCAAAAAATGGTCGGGGAGGTAAGGTTAGTTACCAGCATGGAGGCCTCAAGTGTGGACTCAGACTGAACTGGTTCCAATTCCAGCTCTGCTACTTTTTGGGGGTGTATTTTGGGCAGGGGAATTAATAGCCTTGAGATTGACACCTTCTTTTTTTTTTTTTTTAACAAATAAGGATAATACATAAAAGTACCTGCATCAAAAGCTGTTGAAATTGTGGGTGAGTATGTAGCGGTTACTTCAGTTAATATGCCTGTGTCTCATACTGGAGCACCCGGGTTTGATGTCTAACTCTGGCTCCTGACTCCAGCATTGAGCTGATACATGCTATGGGAGGCAGCAGTGACAGTTTAATAACTGCTTTCCTGCCACCCACGTGAGAGACCTGGACTGAGTTCCCAGGTCTGGTCTTTGGCCTGGTCCAGCCCCACAGGCGTGGCTATTTGGATAGTGAACCAGTAAATGGGACATGTCTCTCTCTCTGTGTCTATCTGTCTCTCTCTCTGTGTATCTCTCTCTCTGCCTCTCAAATAAGACTTTTTTTCTAAAGTTACAGAAATCAACAAATTAGATGTTTGATGTGTGCTAATTAGCACAGTTCCTGCTGTGCTTGAAACATAAAAATTAAATACAATTTAGTTATCATAATTATCTTAAATACTAAAAATATAATTTCAATTACCCTTATTGAATCTGATTCTTTTCCCTAGCCTGAATGTCCTATAATTTATAGTATTAATATCTATAGAACAGGATGCGGCTTAAATCTGCTGTCTTCAGACAATAATTATTCAGAAAATAATGTTTTCAATGATAGCTTAAAATGAAAACTTTGCTATTTGGCATGCAAAATCATTGCAACCCAGCTCCGTTGCCTGCACATGTGCCCCCTGCACACTACAGTTCAGAAAGCCTAAAGTATACAGTCCTGGTGGACCCAGCCAGGGACGCTGACACAGCCCACGTCACCCAGGTTCTTCTTCAGGGGACAGTTATGCTGAAGTCCTCCATCGTTGGCTCCAGAGCTCCAGTGCTGCTAAAATAGCCCAGAGTAAAGTAGACAAATGAATTAATTTCCAAAGTGAGCACCAAGCAGTTGTCCTGAGTTGTGACTGTCTTCCTACAAAACCCAGTGAGTTAGTGCTGTGGACTGCGAAAGTAGAGACACTTCCTCTCTTAAGGCTGTCAGTGAGATCATAAAACCCCAGGGAAAACATAATTTTTCATTTGTTTTGCTCTCTGTGAAAAGAGAACAGGAGAATTTCTCTTTTCCTCTTTGCCATCAGGAGGAAGGCAGCAATTATAGTGGATGCACCTCTCAAAAAGACAAATAGACTGGGCTGATCCAGTGTCAGAGGGAACAGCAATCTATTCGGGTGGCCCTTGAGCAAGAGATTTTGTCAGTGGACAGGAAAGCCAGATGATGGACATTTGTATGTGCTATCACCTTAATAGGTCCACTGCAATGAGTACCTTAGGAGGAATTTATTGACAGCGAGCACGGGGCAGGAACAGGCAGAGGCTGGCAATAATTAGGTGAGGAAGACGCTTCAGGGAATAGGAGAGGGTGGAGAGGATGCCTAGTATGCAGTGAGGCTGAGAAGATGCAGAACAAGGTTTTTCCAGGGCTCTGTCTTTCAAAACAAATTTTCAGTGCGTCCTTTTGCAAAAGGCTTTTGGAAATCAGCAACTCAGGAATCCCTAGAGCATACGCAAACACATGGAGATTGAACAACATGCTCCTGAATGAACAATGGGTCATAGAGGAAATTAAAAGAGAAATAAAAAATTTTCTGGAAGTAAATGAGGATAACAGCACAGCATACCAAAACTTATGGGACGCAGCAAAAGCAGTGTTAAGAGGAAAGTTTATATCAATAGGTGCCTACATCAAGAAATTGGAAAGACACCAAATAGATGAGCTTTCAATTCACCTCAAGGATCTAGAAAATCTACAAAAAACCAGACCCAAATCTAGTAGGAGAAGAGAAATAATTAAAATCAGAGAAGAAATCAACAGGATTGAATAAAAAAAAAACATTACAAATAATCAGCCAAACGAGGAGCTGGTTTTTTGAAAAAATAAACAAAATTGACACCCCATTGGCCCAACTAACTAAAAAAAGAAAAGACCCAAATCAATAAAATCAGAGATGAAAAAGGAAATGTAACAACAGACACCACAGAAATAAAAGAATCATCAGAAATTACTACAAGGACTTGTATGCCAGCAAACAGGGAAACCTATCAGAAATGGATAGATTCCTGGACACATGCAACCTACCTAAATTGAACCAGGAAGACATCGAAAACCTAAACAGACCCATAACTGAGACAGAAATTGAAACAGTAATAAAGGCCCTCCCAACAAAGAAAAGCCCAGGACCAGATGGATTCACTGCTGAATTCTACCAGACATTTAAAAAAGAACTGACTCCAATTCTTCTCAAACTATTCAGAACAATCGAAAAAGATGGAGTCCTCCCAAATTCTTTCTATGAAGGCCAGCATCACCTTAATTCCTAAGCCGGAAAAAGATGCAGCATTGAAAGAGAATTACAGACCAATATCCCTGATGAACATAGATGCAAAAATCCTCAATAAAATTCTCGCCAATAAAATGCAACAACACATCAGAAAGCTCATCCACCCAGACCAAGTGGGATTTATCCCTGGTATGCAGGGATGGTTCAATGTGCGCAAAACAATCAATGTGATACACCACATTAACAGACTGCAGAAGAAAAACCATGTGATTATCTCAATAGACGCCGAGAAAGCATTTGATAAAATACAACACCCTTTCATGATGAAAACTCTAAGCAAACTGGGTATGGAAGGAACATTCCTCAATACAATCAAAGCAATCTATGAAAAACCCACAGCCAACATCCTATTGAATGGGGAAAAGTTGGAAGCATTTCCACTGAGATCTGGTACCAGACAGGGATGCCCACTCTCACCACTGCTATTCAATATAGTTCTGGAAGTTCTAGCCAGAGCTATTAGGCAAGAAAAAGAAATTAAAGGGATACAAATTGGGAAGGAAGAACTCAAACTATCCCTCTTTGCAGATGATATGATTCTTTATTTAGGGGACCCAAAGAACTCTACTAAGGGACTACTGGAACTCATAGAAGATTTTGGCAAAGTAGCAGGGTATAAAATCAATGCACAAAAATCAACAGCCTTTGTATACACAGGCAATGTCATGGCTGAGGAAGAACTTCTAAGATCAATCCCATTCACAATAGCTACAAAAACAATCAAATACCTTGGAATAAACTTACCCAAGGACGTTAAAGATCTCTACGATGAAAATTACAAAACCTTAAAAAAGAAATAGAAGAGGATACCAAGAAATGGAAAAATCTTCCATGCTCATGGATTGGAAGAATCAATATCATCAAAATGTCCATTCTCCCAAAAGCAATTTAGAGATTCAATGCAATTCCAATCAAGATACCAAAGACCTTCTTCTCAGATCTGGAAAAAATGATGCTGAAATTCATATGGAGACACAGGAGACCTCGAATAGCTAAAGCAATCTTGTACAACAAAAACAAAGCTGGAGGCATCACAATACCAGATTTCAGGACATACTACAGGGCAGTTGTAATGAAAACAGCATGGTACTGGTACAGAAACAGATGGATAGACCAATGGAACAGAATAGAAACACCACAAATCAATCCAAACATCTACGGCTCATATTTGATCAAGTATCCAAAACCAATCCCTGGAGTAAAGACAGTCTATTCAATAAATGGTGCTGGGAAAATTGGATTTCCACATGCAGAATCATGAAGCAAGACCCCTTCTTTCTGAAAAGGGTATTTGCTGATTGATTCAATTTTGAGTCAAAGTAATTTTTTATTTGTATACATTAAGTGACTTTTCCCTTCCTCTCACAGAATGAAGTTGTTAATCTAATGGAACTGTAGTGTAAGGCTCTTTCTTGAAGTCACACTAAAGGCAGTTTAATTCTGTCATGCTGCTAAGTCTTAGGAATTTCGATTACTTTATAGAATCTACATGTGTGATCTGTAACACTGAAAGGAAAACAAGCACTCAAGTTTTCCAATGTGATTGACTTTTCTTTATTGTGTACAAAAGGTTACTGGTCTATTTGTCATAATATTATAAAGGAAGTATCTTTATAAACTCCTGACAATTTTGCCTGTGATTATTAAAGATGTTAGTATCACAGAAAGAGAAAAAAATTACTAAAATTCATGCAGACTCACAAAACTCTGAATAGCCATAGACATCCTGAACAAAAAGAGTGAGGCTGGCAGAACCACACTATTTGATCTCAAATATATTAGAAAACTATGGTAATGAAAACTATGTGGTACTGGCATAAAAACAGACATGGAAATGAATGGAACCAATAAAAAAAGAATATTAAATCCACACATTCACAATCGACTGATCTTCAGCAAAGGAGTCAAGAACACAAACTGTGGAAGGGACACTCTCTTGAGTAAATGGGGCTGGACAACTGGATATCCACATGCAGACAAATGAAATTAGTCCCATGATGCTCTCCATATCCAAAAGCTAAAGACTTAAATAGATTAAGACGTAAATGAGAAGCCTGACACTGTAAAACTACTACCTATGGACAAAACTCCATGAAGTTGTTCTGGGCAACGATTTTTTATATGACCCCTAAGGCACATCTTCCCATGTGATTAGTTGTTCAATAACTGTACATGGCTGAGTTGAAGATCAGAATCATACAATGTAAAATCCTAACTATGAGAAATCACAATGTGGCATACCGCCCAAACAATGCATTTTTCACCTTAGTTTTCCATTTGATTTGATAATTTCTGACTTCCATAAAGACTTTAGACTTTCACAAGTCTACTATATATAAGCCAAACCAGGGTTATCATTAAGAAAATTATCCGATCAGTCACAGTTTTTCTTATTACCATATCCTTTTCTTTTTCTTCCGTTAGGATATTTTGGGTTTTGTCTTTAATAATATATAAATAGAATTTCTCTGAAAAGGGAATTTCCTTCCTATTTTAAAATAAATTTTAATGGGCATTGAAATATTTCTACCTTTCACAAGAATAATAAGAAGGCAATCATTTGTTTTCTGTTTTAGTTTGAGTCAAATATAATTATTTTTTAAACATCAGACAATACTGAAGAAAAAAATATTCTATTTCTGTAGCACCAGAAAAGATTTTATATAATGACCAACTTTAAACTTGAGACCATGACCCTGTCAACTGTCTGGAAAATGATTGCAATGCTTTTTGACCTGGAGTTGGCCAGTGAGCAAGGGACATCAAGCAGCCAGAGGGTATGGCACAATGAGAGCACAGAACTAGAAGAATTAAGGAAACAGAGACATAGTTTTCATATCATCAGACTATACTAGAATTTAGGCCTCCACCCGTCTCAGGGAAGCACTGTGATTCTTTGCAAAAACTGTGAGGGATCCAGAACATCTGTCTGCTCCAGCTGTGCCAGCCATTACTAGACACCGGAGGAGCCCTACGTTTTAAAGACTGGAAATGAATGGCATCACTGCTGTGTGAGTCCTTTGTTCCTCTCTTAAGGAGAGAGTCTCTATTAAAATAATTAGGTAAAAACTGAAGATGGAATACCTTGGGAAATTTAAATAGAAAGGAACAAACCGAATTCCAAGTTTGATGGGATAGAATGTGTTATGGTTGCTTCTCTTTTTGGTAGCCTAAATAAAATAGATTTGAGTGTTAATGAAGTTTTCTATGATTGATATATCAGTATCACCCTTGTTTTTATTATTATACTATAGTAGCAATATGCTTACTCTAATTGTATCTTAGTTGAAGTCTACATTAAAAAAATCAAGTGTAATTATTGGGAAAGCAGTAAAATGTTAAATAACTCAATCAGTTTTAAAAATATAATCTACCAAATCAGAAAAAAAGCAAAGTCATTATTTTACATTGTTAATTTCTTTTTTTTTTTTTTTTTTTTGACAGGCAGAGTGGACAGTGAGAGAGAGAGACAGAGAGAGAAAGGTCTTCCTTTGCCGCTGGTTCACCCTCCAATGGCCGCCGCTGCAGCCGGCGCACCGCGCTGATCCTGGCAGGAGCCAGGAGCCAGGTGCTTTTCCTGGTCTCCCATGGGGTGCAGGGCCCAAGCACCTGGGCCATCCTCCACTGCACTCCCTGGCCATAGCAGAGAGCTGGCCTGGAAGAGGGGCAACCGGGACAGAATCCGGCGCCCCAACCGGGACTAGAACCCGGTGTGCCGGCGCCGCAAGGTGGAGGATTAGCCTATTGAGCCACGGCGCCGGCTTCGTTAATTTCTTTTTTTAAAAAGAGATTTATTTATTTTATTTGAAAGTCAGAGTTACACACAGAGAGAAGGAGAGGCAGAGAGAAAGAGAGAAAGGGGGATAGTCCATTGGCTGGTTCACTCTCTAGTTGGCTGCAATGGCCGAAGCTACACCAAGCTGAAGCCAGGAGCCAGGAGCTCCCCACAGGGTACAGGGGCCCAAGTACTTGGGCCTTTCTCTACTGGTTTCCCAGGCCACATAAGAGAGCTGGATCAGAAGTGGAGCAGCTGGGTCTTGAACCGGAGGCCGTATGGGATGCTGGCACTGCAGGCGGTGGCTTTACCTGCTATGCCACAGTGCCAGCCCCTACATTGTTTATTTCTTAACAACTGACCATGTTACTTTGTTTGATTCATTTAAATCAAGACTAGGGGTAGGTGTTTAGCACAGGGGTTAAGAGGCCACTTGGGATACCCACATACCATATCATAGTGCCTGAGTTCAAGTCCTGGCTCTATCCCTTACCCAGCTTCCTATTAATGCTCACCCTGAGAGGTACAGGTGATGGATCAAGCAGTTGGATTCCTACCAACCCCATGGGAAACTGAGATTGAATTCTGAGCTACTGGCTTGTCCAGTCTTGACTTTTGTGGGCATTTGGGGAGTGAACCGGTAGATCAAAGAGCTCTCTCTCTCTGTGTCTTCTCTCTGCCGATCAAACGAAACAAAAATAAAATAAAATTAAAAAATTATAAATGAAATTAAATAAATCCAGGCTACAGAAGAAGCAAATCAGACAGAAGCTGAGGAATGCATTAAAAAAGAATTTCTATTTCAGGAGTAAAGGAAAACAAATGTAGTAAATTTAATAATGTCAGGAAAGGAACTGAAAGGGACAATTTTGCACAGCTTAAGAGATTTTAAAGATAACACTGCACTTTATAAAACAATGTTTACTGTAAGATTTATAATTTACAAGGCGTAAGAAAATAAAAAGGAGAAATAGACATCATTAATAGTATCAGCTCCTGAAGAAAAATCTGTAAACGTTTTGGTGTCTTTCTATACATATAGTATAGTTTATTTATTTAGTTTTTAACGGGAGCACTGCTATTCACTGTTTCACTCTCCAGATGCTCACAGTGGCTGAGTGGCTGGACCTGAGAGCTGGAAACTCAATTTCATGCAAAATCTTTCTTAGTGTTCCATTAAAATGCTGTAAAATTTTGGCATAACTGTAAATTTAACAAGTAACTTTAATTCCCAGACAATAGCTCCTTTAGGATAACCACAAGGGTAATTTAGTTAGGTCCTTATTCTTTATATTTTTTCTCAGTTCACAAAACTAATGTTATACAGATGTGTAGGGTGAATTCACTGGGTTAAATACCACAAAGTTTCTTGTTATACTTGTTTTGATATTATTCTATGATGTATACTATCACCACCGGTGGAATACTGTACCTGTATCAATACAACATTTAATATTATAAGTACCTATTTTCTCTTATTTGATTTGTGCAAAAAAGACAAAATTTTTGGTGATTAACTTGATGGTTACATAATCAAGGGCATTTTCCTCCCTTATATGTTCTTATTTTTCTAACTTGTATCATTCATCAACAGTCTTCTGTGTTTTCTCCATCAATCTATGCAGAAACAATCTGAATCCATTTTTTTACACTTCCTTTTTTTAAATTTTATTTTATTTAATGAACATAAATTTCCAAAGTACAGCTTATGGATTACAATAGCTCCCCCCCCATAACTTCTCTCCCACCCATAACACTCCCCTCTCCCACTCCCTTCCCCCTTCCATTCACATCAAGATTAATTTTCAATTATCTTTATATACAGAAGATCAATTTAGCATATATTAAGTAAAGATTTTAACAGTTTGCACCCACACAGAAACACAAAGTGTAAAATACTATTTGAGTACTAGTTATGGCATGAATTAAACACCTAAGAGTAATTGTGTATTTTTTTTTTTGACAGGCAGAATGGACAGTGAGAGAGAGAGAGAGAGAGAGGAAGGTCTTCCTTTGCTGTTGGTTCACCCTCCAATGGCCTCCATGGCCAGCGTGCTGTGGCCGGCACACCACGCTGATCCGATGGCAGGAGCCAGGTACTTATCCTGGTCTCCCACGGGGTGCAGGGCCCAAGCACTTGGGTCATCCTCCACTGCACTCCCTGGCCACAGCAGAGAGCTGGCCTGGAAGAGGGGCAACCAGGACAGAATCCGGCGCCCTGACTGGGACTAGAACCCAGTGTGCCGGCGCCGCAATGCAGAGGATTAGCCTAGTGAGCCGTAGCACCGGCCGAGTAATTGTGTATTAATTACAGAGTTCAACCAATAGTTTTAAGTAGAACATAAAAAATACTAAAAGGGTAAAGTATTAAGTTCTTTTTTTTGGTTATATAGTTATTTTTTTAAATTTAATAAATGTGAATTTACAAAGTGCAACTTTTGTATTGTTGTGGCTTCCCCCCCAACCTCCCTCCCTCCCGTGGCCCTCCCCTCTCCCACTCCCTCTCCCATCCCACCCTTCATCGAGTTTCATTTTCAATTACCTTCATATACTGAAGATCAACTTAGTATATACTAAGCCAGGATTTCAACAGGCTGTACTCACACAACCGCACAAGGTATAGGGTATTGTTCGACTAGTAGTGTTGTCTTTAAGTTTCATAGTAAAACACATTAAGGACAGAGATCCTACGTGGGGAGCATGTACCCAGTGACTCCCGTTGTTGATTTAACAATTGGCACTCTTAATTATGATGTCAGCAATCACCCGAGACTCTTGCTATGAGCTGTCTAGGCTATGGAAGCCCCTTGAGTTCACCGACTCTGAACTTGTTTAGTCAAGGCCGTATCACAGTGGAGGCTCCTTCCTCCCTTCAGAGAAAGGCGCCTCTCTCCTTGATGGCCTGTTCCTTCCACTCGTATTTTGAGACTTTACCTGGGAAAAATGGCTTTATGTAATTTAATTTACCTTAATTTATCAACTCTTCTCCAAGTATTAGTAGATTATAGCAGTACTGGTATTTATTGAGCTTCCAATTCTGTCCCTAGAGCCTACAAAGTACATTCAGTTAAATTCTCCTTAATCAACAGGCACTATGATTTCCACCTGTACTAATTAAATTTGTTGCCAAATCTTCCTATTTTATTTTAGTTAGACAGCAATAAATGGCAACCAACAGTTTTGAAATTCATATCACTTTGTATTGTTTTATTGCCAACTCTTAGAGAAAGCACCTATCCTATAAGCAGTAGTAAAAACAGTACCTCAACTTAAACTTCTTTTTAAAGTTTTAATTTCTCCATTTTTAAAAAAGTTACTTGGCCATCATATATAATATATTTATATTTAAATATATTTATGTAATATATACATAATTACACATGTATGTAAATATATATAATTATATTATATATAATTTGTATATTTCATTAAGAGACAAGAAAAAAAGTTGCTTTGCTTTTGTATAGTATCTAAAAGCAGTGTGTTGTAAGAAGAATTTTATGGTGCCTTTGAAATATTCTGGTGAAGCAACTTCAATAAAGAGCAGCAAACAGATCAGATCTTAGCAAATGAAACAGAATCAAAGTCTAATTACAACTACATTCCAACTGGACCAGTGGCACTTCTTTGGCCTGTTCTGAAAGGCAGTAGGAGTCTGTTGCAGACATCGTTAGTTTTAATTTGTTCAAATGTGTTTTCATGACCAACCAGTGTAGAGGTGGCAAAAGGAAAGTTTCTGGAGGCAGAACAAATGGAGAAAGGTGTTTTGAGTCCTATCCAGTGGCAACCAGTTTGATCTCCCCAAGGAAATGTTTCTTGACAATAATTTAAGGAAAATAGCAACACTTGATCTTCAGGTGTTTGACAAAATGGAAACTCTTCTATTTGCCAGACAAATGGAACCAATGGACTCTTCACTCTCAGAATTTAATGGAAACTTAAGGATATATACATATACATATACATATACATACACATATACATATACATATACATATATATATATATAGAGAGAGAGAGGGAGAGAGAGAGAGAGCTAGAGAGAGAGAGAGAGAGAGAGCGCTATAAATGAGAGAATATGTGAACTGCATCCCAAATAGTCTTTGTAAAGTCAATCTAACCAACAGACACTCTGGATTTATCAACATCTACATTTTTTAAAGTATTAGGTTTTTTTTTTTGCTTTATTTTTATCTTTCCACTATTTACAAACTTATTGAATTAGTTCTGTTCCTT